GGCTAATTGCAGAAGACTGCAAAATCCATGATTATCTTTTTGCATCCTGGAGAACTCTGCTCCACAGCTAATGGATGACAGGGGTGTATCAGCTTGCTTAGGACTTCTCTGCTCCATTTCATAGCAGTGCTCACAGAATTCAATACCACGGTGAGCTCAAAGCCCCAGCAGTCGAGGTGTCTGTTCTCATGAGGGAACAGTGGCTTGCCACAGTACAGATCCCTTTCTTCTTTCCATAAAACAGAAAACATCTTCAAATTCCTTGCTTCCTCCAAAAATACATCCTGAAGTGGGGAGTGCCTGTAGTGCTTCTCCTGCAGAGCTTCTGCTCCACAACTGTAACAGAGCAAAGCTCGGGACAAGCTGGCTCAACTCAACCTCTCAATTTTTCAAGGATATCTACACTTCAAATTAGTTGGGTACAAATGCTTGTCACAGGTTTCCAGTAGATTAAGGTAAGGGGTTTTACACTTTATTTATTTGATATGAGGTATTCTTCAAAATCCTGTAGCAAATTGGGTCTGAGGCTGAAAACATTGTTTATCTCCATCCTTTTCATAAACAACCCAGAAGAAGCAACCCTTCAAAATGAACTCTGGCAAGAGTACTTAGCACGGTCTGCTCCTGGCACAGTGTAGTCTGAAATGTGCCAACATGAGCTGAGGCAGGGATTTATACCTGCAAGGGTCTCACACAGTCAACAGGTTGTCTTCCTCACATCCATGAGAAGGAAAGCCAAGGAAGGGAGATAATCCAGGCTCATCCTGTGACTGGCTGGTTTAGTCACTGGTCCAAGAGTGCTAACCCAGAACCCTGTGCTTTTGCCATCACTTTTCATACACTCTGAATACATGTCCTAGAGACAGGATGGGAGGTCAGGTTCAGAAAGAAATTATTAAAAAAGAGGAATCTGGATCAAATAATATCACCAGCAACCACAGCGTCTCAGCAGCAGAAGTGTATAACTCACGTAAAGAAAGCCAGGTTGAATAAAATAGGGCAGCAAGGTCATTAAATGAAAAATAAGAATACAAGTTGAGAGCAATTCCCTCGGACAAGGAGAGTCAGGATCACAGGAAACAGTTTCTCTGACAAAGGAAGTGAACTACAGATTCAGGAACATATATCTTCAGTTATTGCCCAAGACAAGCATTTAAATAGGTAAAACAGTTTAAAAACCCACCTCTGGCTGGCATTTAGTACAGATTATCAATACTGAGTTGTTTACTCATTCCTAGTAAAATGTGCGTGGAATCAGGGAACAATTTACAATAGCTGAGGCATTCACCAAGATGGAATAAGAGTTTGGAGCCTGCCTTGAAATTCTCAAAACCTGGACTGCCAAAAAAACCCGCCCCTTTTACATAACCTAACAGAATAAAACACTGTATCTTATTTTTGACACACCTTCCTTTACAGTCTGCATAGACAATAACAGAAGCAACAAAAACCTAAATTGTATCCATTATCTTAGGCTGAGGCAGCTAACCTAAGCAACATAAATAGTAGAGAAATTATTTTAAAAGATACCATCACTGTTATCACCGAGCAGTGAGTGTTCTTTTTACATGTCACTGAACAGTTTTATTCAGTGTGTTGGCTTTCCAGGCTCATTCTTGCTTCCAGTTCTATGCAAGACAGAGCAGAAGGGCTGGCAGGGCACATGACTTGATCTGCATGCATGCTTAAGAAACCTTTTCCTCTCCATTTCCCTGCCACTGCATGTCAATAATGCTCCCTACCTTCTAACTTAAAAATTTAGTAGGGTAGAGGGAAGAGCTGGAAGGATTTGTTCAGGATGCTGAACTAAATCACTACCAAAATACACAGCAAGAAATGAAAAGAAGTGCTTGAGTCAGTGTCAACTGTGTATTCTGAAGTCACTACACATCCCCACACGCTGTACTGTACTTCCCACAAACGTCCTTTCTGTCCTTGCCTTGTGAGAGCAGGAACCAAAGAGTCATCTTGGTACCAAAACACGGACAGACAGTTTGACATGAGCAGGAGCGCACTTAGCAGTCTCTACAGCAATTCTGCTCTGCTGCTACAGGCAGACTTACCCCACTGGAAGAAGTGGGGTATGTGCATAACTTCTGAGATCTCCTGACATTGTGATTGTGCAGCATTAGTCTATCACATGAATGTTTTTGCCAAAGTACCTCTTAATGTACAAAAATACAAATTCGGCAGAGTAAAACGTGAAGTTGGTGACACTAAGGTTGAGAGATGTAATAAAACAACAATTCTTCGTTTTAATTCTAGTAATAGTAGGTCAGGCATTCAGCCAGCACGTTCTGTTTTGGTTCTAAAGCTGATAGTGCTCCCTGAACTCCAAAGCTGTGATAACACTGAGATTTTTAGGAACCAGATTCAGTGCTGTGCTCTTGTTGTGATAGGTACTTACATGTCAGCAGTCCCAGTAGATGATATTTACTTTTAGACGGCTGGTTGCATGTTCCTTAATCTTTTTGCCTACTCTCACTGTATTAAGCAAAAGAAAACATGTATTGTCAGGAGCAGCCTTTCTGTATAAACACTGACATCCCTCTCCACCTAAAGCCAAGCCAGCCAAGCTCTCCAGAGCTGACTCAGGTCTTTAGGATTAGAGGTGCATCCGCACATCTATTCTCAACGTGCTTGTCAAGGCAGACAGGGTTCAGTTGATCATACCTTCCAAAACTTGGCAACATCTTAACATAATGCACAAATAGGTATAATAAAAAAAACGTGGTTGCAAAGTGGGATTTGAAGTTGCAGGATCCTGCTAAGAGGTTACAGAAACGAATCGTGTTACATTAAACATTTCCCGTATGGGTTTACAGCAATAAGAATAGAAGCGGACAGGCAAAAACTTCAACCGAGAATCAGATGGCAGCTATAACACCCCAGACAAAACGAAATTGTTTGCTCTGCCAGGAGCTATATAGAGACTCGCAGATCTAGAAGGGCAAGTCGCAAAACGCCTCAGCAAACAGACAAGAAGACAAAGCACATGTTACCTTTACCTTTGTAAACAAAACCAGAGCTCGGAACCGCCGCGGTGACAGCGACCGAACACCGCGAGTCCCGATCCCCGGCGGTGCCACCTCGCTCCCGCTGCGGCCGATCCCGAGCTCCGGGGGGATAAAGCTCCTCCGGGGTCGAGCATCCCCTGGGACGCGGCGGCCGGGGCGAGCATCCCCCGGGGCCGTGTGTGCCCCGCTCCCCCCGCCCGCCCCTCCCCTCCGCCAGTAAACCCACGGCAACAAAAGAGGGAGGGGAGCGAGGCCGATCGCGCCCCTTCTCCCCCCGCGCCGGCCGCTCACCGTGCTGGGTGAAGACGTTGAATCCTCCCTCTGCGGAGCGCCCGGCCGCCTCCCGCCGGCGGCCCGCGGGCCTGGCCGCGCTGCTCCCCCGCGGTCCCCGCGGCTGCTGCTGCTGCGGCGGCGGCTGGTGCTGGAGCCCCGCGCCCGGCTCGCCGACGCGGCCCACCTGCTGCCCCATGGCGGGCCGCGCTCACATCCCGCCGCTCCCGGCCCGGCAGGCGCGTCCCGCTGCTCCCGCGGCCGGACCCGGCGGCTCCCGCGGAGCTCCGCGCTGGGGCTTCACGGGCTCGCCCCCGCAGCCCCCGCCGCCATCTTAAACCACAGAGCGCCGGCGGAGCGCGGACGGAGCGGCTCCCGCGGCCGCCTCCGGTCCGCCCAGGGAGGGAGGGAGGGAGAGAGGGAAAGAGGGAGGGAAGGAAGGAGCGAGGGAGGTGGCCGCACCCCCCCCAGCCCAGCCCAGCCCAGCCCAGCCCGCCCCGCCGCGGCACACAGAATCCCAGAATCCCAGAACTGTAAGGGTTGGAAGAGATCTCTGGAGAGGCAAGGCAGGGTCACCTAGAACAGGTGACACAGGGACGCGTCCAGGTGGGTTTGGAACGTCTCCAGGAGAGACTCCATGCCCTCCCTGGACAGCCTATTCCATGGCTCTGCCTCTTTCAATGGAAAGAAGTTCTTACTTATAGAATACACTGAGTTGGGAGGGACCCATCAGGATCGCTGAATCCAACCCTTGCCCCTGAACAGGACATCCTCAGAATCCCACCCTGAGCCTGAGAGCGCTGTCCAAGGGCTTCTTGAACTCTGTCAGGCTAAGGCAGTGGCCGTGGCCCCGAGGCTGCCTCAGCCCAAGGAAGATGCTCTCCCTATAGGATACAGCCAGGCTGGTTCACCTACAAACCCGAGCAGGTGTGAGTGCTGAAGTCAGGGCCACGTGCTCCCAGGAGGGAGCAGTGGTGGGTCTGTCCAGGGCCATGTGCAAGGAGGTTGTAGCCAAGTGGAGGTTGGTCTCTTCTCCCAGGTAAAAAGTGATGGGCCAAGAGGACATGGTCTTAAGCTGTGCCAGGGGAGGTTGAGGTTGGATGTTAGGAGGAATTTCTTCACAGGAAGGGTGATTAGACATTGGAACGGGATGACCAGGGAAGTGGTGGAGTCACCATCCCTGGAGGTGTTCAAGCAAAGACTGGATGTGGCACTGAGTGCCATGGTCTAGTTGACATGGTGATGTTCGGTCATAGGTTGGACTTGATATCTCAGAGGTCTTTTCCAACATAACTAATTCTGTGATTCTGTGATCTCCATGGGTCACCAGACCCTGGGTTGATTCATTAGGCTTCCACAGGAACCTGTATGGAGGAGGAGGAAGGCACTGCTGTGTGAGTAACCTCATTCTGGAGGCCAAGTGTGGTTGGCAGCAGGGTATTGTCGTTGAGTGGTTGGACGTACACTCAGTTCTGTAACTAATTAGTAAACTGTCTTCTTTCAGCTTCTGTAATATCAGCATTAGGCACTCCAAAGCAGAAGGGAGCAGGTTTCATCCCAAAAGATAATGGTGCTTGTCACAGTTTAGAGGACCTGGGCACTTAGAAATATTTCACTCTCCATGCTAGCAACCATTTTAGCAATGCCTTGGCAATGTTGCTTCATCCTGGATGAGCCACAATGCTACTCCCCTTGGATGCCTTCACCACTGAGAACTGATGTGACAGTGACAAATTGGCTTGGTAACACTTGCATCCATCCGGCTTCCAACCTCTGTGTGGCCATCCTGGGGTGGGAAGGTGAGGAGACATTCCTCTCATTGCTCTGTGAAAGTCAGCTTTCAGTGACAGGAATTCTAAGGTCATGTTCTACCTTCCCAGGATCATGAGGTGCCATCCATACTGTTGCATGTACTCAAACTGCACCCTGCTGCAATAATAATTCTGCCTAAATTAGGGGGGGCTCATCCCATTGGGCTGGTGTGTTCTCTGACACAGGCTGGAATGCCTTAACTCACTAAATTAACGGACTAAGAAAGTTGGGGAGATCAGAAATTACAGACAGTCTTGCTAATAACACACAACAAAACAGTTCTTAAAATAGTGCTGGGACCATCTGGGGTGTTGCCAAGTCCGGGACCTTGTACGGGCGCGGTTATGTGGATGTGAGGAGAGGGTGATCCTGCAGAATGGACAGTCCCGGGCAGAACTGGCCCATGGGGAAACTCTGCAGTGGAGATATTTCCTGGTCTCGTTCCAGCCAGAATTTGCAGGGTTTGGCATTTATAAATGGTTTGCCTTGTAAACAAAATATATGTTCTCTGGAGACTGTAGAGACAACAAACACAGAACTCCCTCATGCCGTTTGCAGTTGCCACGTAGGATAGAACCACTCGTTAAAAATCAACAGAAATACTATTTTTCTTTCCTAATGCCTTTTACTTGCTCATGAAGAACTATCCAGAGGAAGGCCATTAGCATTTTAAAAGAAGATGCCAGTGTCAAGAGACTGTTATATGTAAGTGCACCAAGGAGAATTGGATTTAAACACTGCTCTTATTCCTCAGATCTCATGAAATCCCTCATTCTCTCTCCCAGCTTGTGCACATAAAGCAGCTCACTGAGGGTTACGTTAATGCCCGACTGCAGGGAACCTGTCTGACACACAGAACCATCTTTCCTGGGGATGGGGTCAGGCAGGGGCTTTCTGAGAAGGCCTGTTGCAGGGAGAAGAGGGCTGCAGCATGGGTTTTTTGTTGTTTATAATAGTATTTTAAGACTATGCTGTACCCTGTAAAAAAAGCTTCAAAGCCAGCGCCCCAGCCATTGCTGGTTCAGTGCTAAACAAGCCAGACCCTTGGACTGGGCTCCACTTGGTCCCCTGGCGTCCTATAAACAGGGGATGCCCTGGTTGGTGACTGCTCTTTGTAGAACCCCTGCTAGAACAGCAGTGGGGATAGAAACAAGAAATCCCCAAACTGAAAATGTCTCTGTGCTGCTGAGTCACCGATGACACTGAGCCACATGTTCCTTGTTGTTACAGCAGGAGCTAGGAAGTTACTGCACAGTGTCATGGTTAACCATGCAAAGACAAGAGGTAAAGTCTGCACCAATGCTACCTATTATTATCAGCTGTGATGTTATCAGCCTCAATAAGCATCAGGAATAGGCTGTTTCTCAAAGGTAATGTCTTCTGAAGAGGTCTGGCACTGTGAGTTAATAAGGCATCTAACAGTTACTGTGCTGGAGATTTTGGGCTTCCAGTTAATCTGCCATTCATGAGCTGTTCAAGTAAGGGATAAAAAGGACCAAGGAACAAAGACAGCACTGAGGTTACAGTCATGTGCCTGACAAGAAATGTGGTATTTCTAGAAACAGCTCTAAACTGACTTTAAATATTAATGGTATATCCATTTCTTGAAGCTTCTTATAAGCACTGACAATGCATTTGCTCCCCATCCACAGTGTGCTCCAAAAATCACAGTCAAAAAATGCTGGCTGAGCAGTCTTACGTGCTCAGCACTATGTGTCATGAGAATGCTGCTGTCATCTGCCTGAAGTATGGCTTCTGTTCCAGAAGGAGCCTGTGGATAAACTGAAGACTCCTGAGCCCGAGCGTTGAGTCAATTGGGCAGTTCCTGTTTTTAACTTAGGAAAAAATAGCTAGCAGTGTGCTGCTGGTGGCCTGAAAATTAATTCTAGGAGTAATCATTGCTCTTCTTCCAGCTTATATACCTTCTGTGTATCAAAGCTCCACAGAGAAACAGATTTGTATTAAACCTTTGGCTGGTATTTAGGCCAGGGATGTATTCATTACAGTATTTGTTAAGAGGCCTTTGGAGGGTTCTCAGGAGTCAGGGATACCTGTGCATAGCATGTCAGGATTTTTATGCTTTAATTGCGGGGCTAGGACAGGCTGTGGAGCTCAGGACAGCTGTAGCTCCCCTGGGATGTCTGCAAAGGCAATGGGCACTGTCCAAGACACAGCCCAGGGCACTGCTGCTCTGTGTCCCTCTAACACCCCAGGCTGCACCTGCCTGACACCAGGCAGCCACTGGGTTTCTGGGGTGCAGCCATGCAGGGCTTTTGGGGAAAGGCTTTGAAATGAAAAAGAAAGATTTAAAAATCTGATAAAGGCTTCATGACACAAGGTTAGTTGCTCTGCAATAAGTGCTGAAAGCTTGTAAGTGCTGAGCCGTGTCAAAGGCGGATGTCATTCCTTGGCGTAACACGTACAGGAGCTCACTCTTTCATCTCTGACTGACAGCTCTTAAAATGTCCCGTCTGCTCAGATCTGTCATGGCACAATAGGTGCTGTTTCAGTGTTGTCTTAAAAGTTATTTCAAATCATTACTATGATTTAAATTAGAATTTGTGTACAGTGCATGCAGGATACCTTGGGGTACCCTCATGCCTGTTCAGTGAGAGTCTGTGAAGATAAAAGCGTTCTGAGGAAGTAACAGATTTTGCCCAACAGCACAGGAGGGTTCACGAGCAGCCTTGAGAGATGAAGTTTCCTCTGTCAATAACTGTTCTTTCTTCCACCATAGATAAACTAAAACTCTACACACACACACTCCCGCAAATGTTGCATCCCACCACCCAACTCGTCCCTCTCCTCCAGGCAGCCAACCTTTTGTTCTGTCTTTGCTGCTGCTTCAGCACTTTTCCTCATCCAAACCACTCTTCTGACACTGCCACTGGTCTAAACATCGATGCCAACCACAGAGGGCTCCATGTGAAGGGAGGAAAGGGCCTGGGCATGCAGTGTTGTAGTGGAAAAGATGAGTGTGTCTGTGTGTAGAGACAGCCAGCTCACTACAGCATCTCAGGCATCCCTATTCTCCTCTTATTTGGCCTTGTGTTTTGGGTTAGATATGCTGTGTAACTAAGCACCCTCACGGATCACAACTGTGGGGCTGGGCCTTGTGTGTCTATCAAGTGCCAACAGCAGCACGTGGACTGTGCTGAGGTTTTGCAGGAGCTGTACCCATGCTGGTATAACCCATCTCCTTTCACAGCCTCCATCACAGGAAAGCTAGAGATGCAATAAGGACATTATGGGACTTCTTCAGGAATTTTTTTCCTGTCCAATATATTTCTCTAAGTACTACAGCTGCACCACCCTTCCCAAGCATCTGTTCCAGGCACTAAAGGCTGTAGAAGGGTATGCTAATAAGAACATTAAGAATGTTGTTTGTTTGCCTTTTTCTGTGGAAAATGTTGCCTCTACCAAACAAAAATGATGACAAGTCTCTGCATCTGCTGGGAATTGCAAATTAGTACTAAGCTTGCACAATGATCACTGATAAAGTACATTTGCTGAGGTAATATGAGGTCCCTCGACAGCGCTGGTGATGATTCAGGCTTTTAGGCATTCAGCTGCAGGTGGGTCAATAGGACTGTTTTGCCACCAGAGTTCCAGGATTGCCTTAATTTATCTTTAGGAGCCTAATTTTTTGATTCCTAATTTGAAATCTTAGTAGCTCATTGGATTATGAGAGGGTTCTCTCAGTTTGCAGATGGAAGCTTTTCTTCCTATGTTTTCTGTTTCCTCTCCCTGAGAGGTTTGTATCCAGAGAGCTGACATTTAGTTAAGTGAGAGCAAATGCCTCAGAGCACAAAACTGCACTGCAGTACCTCCATCAGTGCCTCTGAGAACAGCCTTGTCCCATCTTAGATTTCTCTGCTGATGACTGTGCTGCGTTTGAATTAACATAACCACCGCGATAGTCTAAAACTAAATAAAGGTTACATTAGTCAGAAAAAAAAAATATCCTTCTCTTGTTTTTCTAAGATGTGCAGCTAAAATAAGATGGAGTTAAAATCATAGAGTCATTTAGGTAGGAAAAGACCATTAAGACTCTGGAATCAGCAGTGCTTCCTCTCCATGCTCTTTGCTTCATCTGCTAGTCTCCCCTTATACCTCCTTCCCCCCTACCTCGCCCAGCACCTTCATTTCCCTTTTCTAAATCATAGTGAAAACCACATCTTCTGAAGGTGCCCTTGTTACAATAATGAATCCCTCTGTGATTGCGCTCCTGGTATTGTTTTGAGCTGTTCACACTTCTGAATGTAGTCTTTGATCTTGTAAGGAAGCCTGAGGATACAACTTCTTGCAGGATTGGTGCTCTGTGTTGTAAGTTTAGGATGGCAGGGATCCAGCCTTGCTCTGGACCACTTGTGCCCTGGCCATGAATGGTGTCATGCTCTGTGTAATATTCCTAAATAATTAAATCCCTTTAGGAGTCAGAGTTTGGTCTAAAATATTGTTATTGTTCCGTTCCACGGTGTCCAGATAGATTCTTCCTTGGCAGGATTTTTTATTTGATTTTGCAAGAATTGTAAGTGCTTACTTTATCTTTCAAATGACAGTGTGTTCCTTTCTCACACAGTTATTAAATAGCCATGCTTTTCAGCTTCCAACTTTAATGTTATTCCATTAAAAAATGTTCAGAAGTGTGAAACTGCTCTGAAGAAAAATGTAATTGTGCAGTTGAAGCAAGAGAAAGCACACAGGGTTTCTGTGAATGTAAATATGTGTGTGTGCACAGAATAGACTGGTACCCAAGAGAGCAGCATATACATTTGTAATCAAATCTCACTTATATTTAAAACTTGCTCCTTCTGTTAAACACGCAAATATTTCTGTTCTCTTTGCAAATTCTGCCTCTCTGCTCATTACCAAACCTTTCAGAAAAGGCATAAGCCCAAATCTTCCTCTGATCAGGCTCTTAATGTGTTCTGTGTGGTCTTTATTTAGACTGTAAACTTGCTGAAATAGGAAATGTCTTATGAAAAAAACAGCTACACTGTCTCATTTCACATCCAAATTCTTCTCCCATACCAGCTGTGTGTGTTTGCCTAGCAGCAAGTCTCCTGTTAATGAATGACTTGTTCTCATTAGCTTGTCAGGCTGGATGTGTAGCTTGTAGTTCCCACTCATACAGAGCAGTGCTCCTTCCCTTGTAGCTTCTGGTAAATCAAACAATGGGATACACAAAGCCTTGTGTCTCTGAGTCTGACCTTTGTACTTGGAATCATTAACTGCCACAGAATGCCAAAATAAAGTAACTGGCTGCTGGTTAAATGTATTTAACATAAGCAGAGCCCTAGGGACTGCCTGGTGTGGGGATTGTTGCAGGTTTTACCGCTGGCTGCCACTTCTAAATCTTCTTTAAAAGAGGGGAAAATTAATTCCCTGATCGGCAGAGCCACACGAGTTGTGCTCTATATGTTTGTTTTGTGAAGCTGAGGTCCAGAGTGGATTCCTGACACCTTGGAGGTTTCAAATTGAGGCCCTGAGCAGCTTCCTCTGACTTTGAAGCTGGCTGTGCTTTGAGCAGGAGACTGGACTAGATGCAATCGCTGCCAACTTAAATTCTTATTCCAATAGAAGTTGAGTTCATGTGCAGGATTCTTCCATTCAGGGCATTAATTAAGACTGTCCTCTAAGTAAGCTGAATTTTTCACAAAACCCATTGGAACTGAATACTTCTTGAACCTCTGTCTCTCCATCTGACTTGTATTACATTGGCCAGCAGGTTCAAAAGTTACTGGGAGGTAAAAGACAGCTGGGGCAGACAGAGAGACACTCCCTTCCACATACACATAGGACAACTGCATAAGCCTTGTTTTGTTAAGAAAACCATTCTTCCCTTCATGTTTGTGCAGAAAACTTGTCAAGTGTGCATCTAATGAGGCCTGAAGTCATGCTACACGCTCCCAGCTGCAGCCAACCTGAAATAATTCCTCCCCAGAGCCAGCAGCACATCTCACACAGCCGAGGCATGTACTGTGCAATCCGAGCTATGCAGAGAAGTTGAGACATTTAGGAGTGAAACCCGGGCATGGTCTCACTGATAGCAGAGATTACATGGCTGCGCTCACACGAGCGTGTGTTTGTCTGCCTGGTGCCTCTCTGCCAGCAGACACGGGAGCGTGTCTGGTACCTCTCCCTCGTCCTCAACTTTCCTGTAGCCGGGACTGACGGAAAGGGGAATTTGACCTCAGTGTGTGAGAGACCGCCTGGCTGTCTGCCTTTCCCTTTTTGTCTGCTCTCTCTGAGGATGCAGTCACACTACAAAATTACCTTGAGTCATCTGTCCTGCAAGTTTTTCCCATGGGTTGCTTGTGATAAAGGGCAGACACACAAGGAGAATTATTAATCTGTGCTGCGAGGGGAGACACTGATATGGTGTCTGTGAATCCTCTGTGGATCGTACGGGCTTCTGAGATTTCCATCTACCTGAGCCTTCTCTCCCCAGCATCTCTTCTGCAAGGGACCAGTTCCACAGCTTCAGTCCACACAGCTTGCTGATCAGCCATGAGCCTCCTTTAGCAGATTGTTCTGCTTCCCTTTCTCCCAGATTGCAGAGAACACACCTATCTTCCTCTGCTTTTGATGGCCCTGGAAAACGTTACTTCTGTGTTCCTGGGAAAGAGCTTCAGAGCACTTCTATTTTTTGCCTCGCAGGGAAGCAGAAACTGTGAAATTATCAGCATCCTCTGGTTGTGTGTTCCCTGGAGCTGTTATACTGCGCAGTCTGAAATAGAGATCCGGCCTCAGGGATTTGCTAATGATGCATTCAGTCTCAGCATGGCACATGCTCATTCCTGGGGAGTTACTGAGTTAGCATTTATAGTTCTACACTTTTCCTCTGAGTAGATGAAACCCTCTGATTTTCCCTCAGCACTGAGGTCTTGGGTGTTGGATTCTCTTCTCATGACAGCTTACTTGGAATGTCACCAGGAAGCTTTCAGCCTGGATCCTTCCTCCGAAAATCATAGACTACAGTAGCATCATGCCAGAGATTCTCCCATAACTTGGTGTCTGATCAGTAGGCAACAGGAAAATGAGGTCTTGTTAGACACAGTTTCAAAATAATAAACCCAAGACTTCTGCACAGAAGGTGGGTGATTGGTGTTGTAGGCACTGGAAGCCCTTTGTATCTTGGGGAATAAGCTCACAATTAGGAAGCAAGGAGTCAGCAGCCACTGAGGAAAGTTCAAGTGGAAAAACTGTGAGGAGTGAGCACTGCTGGATGTTTTGATGGTGGTCCCTAACGTGGGTCACTACTGTAGAGAAAGAGCAGTGATAAAGGATGAAGTGAATTCACTCAAGGTTTGCCTTGTTCTCTGATTGCTTTGTCAATTTATGTTTCTTCAGCCACTTTATGCAATGAGGGATTTTTTTGTGTGGGCAAGGGTTGAACTAACAGGAACACTTTTACTATATTTCATATTAACTTGCTGGTGAAGACAAGACCTCTCTTGCATGACCTACATGCCTGAACTCAGAATCCCTCTCCTGGGCCTGCCATCTTCAGATTTAAATTCTTTAAACAAGCTCAAGTTTTCATCTCCTCATCCATATTTCCAAAGCATGTAAGCCTCAAGGCACTAGGCCAACAACGGAATAGTGCTGAGCACAAAGATGTTTTTGTAACCACATCAACTCAGCCCAAGGCAGATCAACTGCAGCAAGCCCTGCAGATTGCTTCTCCTCCCAGTGTAGTTCCATCAGAACCTCCCATTCTTGCTAGTCCTCAGCTGATAGCAAAAACGCCTCTTTCAGCTTTGTAACTCTGACTTCTATTTTTTTTCGCTTTCAGTGAAATGCTCTTGAGAGCTGCCAGAGACTCAGCTGTGACACAGACCTATCTGAATTCAGCGGTTGGGAAGTGTTCCTTCACGCTTGTCATCCATCTCCTTCAATAAGCACTGCATTGTACCAAGGCTGTACATTCTTTACTGCTCTACTTGTTGCTATGGCCAGTGGTGCCAAGTTTCAGTCCGATTCTTTTGGGAGACTGGGCAGAACTCTGGATTTTCTTTCCTTCTGCTTTGTCTGTGCTCCTGCCCCCTACAGTGTTCTCCCTTACCATCACCCAAAACTTCTTTCTGAGGCAGGAAAGCACTGCCCTCTCCAGTCCCTCCACTTGTAGGACCAGCAGCAATCCCTCCTTGGCCTGATCATTGCGGCAGAGAAGCAAACACATGGATGGATTCCCTCTCTAGCCAGGTGTTTCCAAAATCAGGGAGAACAGGAAGGAACAGATGGGAATGGCCTTGAGCAGAGAAGAGGGAAGTTTTTGGCAGGGGAGCTCCACAGGCACGGTGTTGTCAGACCGTATGAAGCTTGGGAAAGGCGCTCGCAGAAGGGAGAGCAGCGGGACACGCTGCCTCATCACCATGGAAACAGCCAAAGAGCTGGCTGGGCACATTTGGAAATGTCTCCTGCTTGGGATGACTTTTGGTACGTGTCATCTATCTTTGCAGTGATTAAAACTAGGTGGAAAAGAGGAAATGTCTGACACTGAAAGTGAAAAACCTCTTTTCTTTCTTAGTTTATAGTGGAGAGTCAGTCTTCCATGGCTTTATGAAGATATTTGTTCTCCTCTGAGACGTATATCCTGGGTTTGATGAGGATTATTTTTTCCCCCATGTTCTCATATTTTTTGGGGTCTTTCATTACAAAGATCAACCACTTTTGGCATTATGATTCAGCTGCCATTGAGATGCTCCTGGACTTCTCCATGGTGTTCCCCATGTGCCCTATGTGATATTTCTCAGCAAGATCTCTCCTTGATGACCCTAAGGATCCCACACTCCCTCAAAGAGGCTGGTCTGTTCTCACCATAGCACCTCAGTGGGATTTTTACCACAGCTTTCAAGTCTTTCCCACACCTTTCCCACAGGCTCATAATGTTATTTTTGAAGACAGTCTAAAAGATTAATATATATATATATATATTGCAGCTGTGTATGAATGCCCTGCCCTAAGAATATGCTTCTGTTTCCACAGCTGGGGAGTGGAGAAGACTGTGGAAATCTCCCATGTTAGAAAAGTGAAAAAAATGAAAGCACATAGAAAGTTATCAGTCCCCAGAACCTACACTTTGCAAAGTACAGAATAGGTAGGACTACACGATTACCTCCAAACAGCTGTCTTGGGAATCATCCTGGATCTGTCATTCCATAAGCACTAATTCTCTTCCACGTCCATCAGCAGTCAGCGTGTTTATACTGTAACAAATAAGTGGGAGACAAGGAATTGGTAAAAATACTGGCTTACGCTGTTGTCTCCACCTTAGAGCAATAGCAAAGTGGTTTGTATTTATTTAGGAAAAAGAGAAAGGATTCACATGCTTATAAAATATGGAGAGGCAGAGATTACTACTACAGAGTGGTAAGCTGTCATTAAACTAGGAGTAAAATGTCTGCTCTCCACCTGCTGTGTTTTACCTTCACAAGGAAGGGTCCCAGCTGTGTAGCACAGCTGGCAGCCTGTGGAGTCACAAGGAACATGTACAGTGGCTCCTGTAGGAGCGGGAAGGAGACACTGGCCAAGTTCAGTGTTGCGTTTCCACAAAAATATTTAGAAAGCCATTCTATGCAGGAGAGTCAATACCAGTAACTAGACCTGTTTGTTCTGGAACTTGTCCCTCTGAAGTCACTCTTCCAGGGCTGACTGTGCATTTAATTCCATGTATCCCTGCCGAAACAACTTCAGAGACCCTCTCATCGAGGCAGTTCAATGTTTTCATGCATTTTTAATATGCAGCAGAATAAGCTGCAAAATAAATCTGAGGTTGGTTTGAGCTGGTGTCACGAGGAGAACGATGATAATCTACAAGATGGTTGGGACCCAGATGAAATTGTTTCTGAGCCTAACAGAAGGAGAAAGCTGGTTTGTCAGAAAGGGTAAAGAACAGCTTCAGAAAGCACAGTTCAGCTTAGCAGGGCGAGACAGATTCAATGCCTATCAGGATTTGATGTTTAGCCAGATAAGAAGGATCTCCTCCTTTTTTAAATATACTGAGGAAACAACCTCCTGAGCTTAAACAAATAAAACCCCAATTGTTACACCAGCCCAGCTGGCAAGGTTCATTCTATTGCCTAAAATGGTAGGGAGAGGAAAAATTATTTGCCCCTCAAAAAACAATGCAAGTTTCCCTTTCAGCAATGGAATCACAGCAGTTAAGTTGGCTCTTGCACCTCCTGCTTGGTCATGGCAAGAAGTTCATCATTTGAATTTCTGAGCTGGGAGAGGAAGCCAGAAGCTTGCTGACTGGCAGCAGGGCTTCGCTTTGGAGGTTTTTTTTAAGGATGATTTCAGCTCGGTAGCGAAACGTGATGTTCGAATAAGGACACCACTGCCCTCTGCTGAGGGATGCGAGTGTTTCTCCCTGTGCGTTTCATCTGCCAGCAGAACCAGCAGCTTCATGGCTTGGAATGCAAGTGTAATTCCTGCTGCTTCTGTCTTTCCTCCAAAGTTTGCTGATCTGAATCTCTTGCACCAAATATTTTGAAAACTCTACGCCTCACGCAGAGTAAAGAGGAGCAAGGGTAATTACACACAAAATCTTGACATGATGATAGCAGAAACTGTGAAACTTGAGCCGGAGTTTTTAAAAAGCAATCTTTATAATTTATAAACACTTCAGGCATCCTCAACAATGTGATATCTGCTGGAGCTACTTTTCGGTTTTCCTGCCAAAATTCAGTCACGCATTATCAGATCAGGCTGAAGTCCTCCACAGTTTCTTAAATTATTTTCTTTTTTCAGTGTAGCACTTGCCTGATCGAGGATTGGCCTCTTAAATGCACACCATTATTTCTGGTTATGCAAAAATAGAAGCTCATTCAATGCTACATTTATGACTGGTTTTACATTCTAAACCTAACATTGCTGTAATTTTGTTAATATTGTTTTAAAAAGGAAAACATTTAAGTGGAACATGTAAGAATATTTTTAACCGCTTGAGGGAGCTCCTTCATTTATCCATCAGAATGTTCCCATTCTGCTTACACATTGTGAAATTCTAAACCACACTTTTAAACAGCTTATTATAGGATTTGCTGAAATATATGAAAGGGTTGAGGCTCTCAAGTGACTGACTTTAAAGGCCAAATAGAAGCTTTAAAGGAATTAATCATTTTGGTCAATAAATGAGGGCATCAGAAACAGCCACATCTACTCACTCCCTGGGCTGACGGACACCAAAAATCTTAAAATAGAAAATAAATTAGAATTACACAGAATTAACAGTAGGCAGTTTTAATCACATCTATTTTGCAACAGTGCCAAACGTGACAGGAAGGAACAGGACCAGGCACAGAAATAAAGAGAAGGAAAGAAAGAATCATATAATCATAGAATAGCCTGAGTTGGAAGGGACCCACAAGGATCATTATGAAAACTCCTGGACCTGCACAGGACAGCCCCCAGAATCACACAATGTGCCTGAGAGCATTTTCCAAAGAAAGAAAGAAGGAACAAAAGAAAGGAGGGGGAAAAAGCAGCACTCCCATTGTTGCCTGGTACTGGGAAGGTTGAAAGCCAGTGAAGTAGAGACAAAAATTGGGGTATCGGGTTACCACAGGCTCCCACGCCAACAACGGGAACGACCACGCGGTGATTCAGCCAGGAGTGCTCAGGAACAGCTGTGGTTGGGCAATCGTTGAGCAACACAACTCATAGGATTAATGTACAACACTCCAGAAAATCAAGATTACAAGCACCGTGGTGACAAGCAGGGTAAATGATGCAGCTGATGAAACAGGGCAGCAATTTGGACCGGGGAAGACAACAGCAGATGATGGGCATGAGTGGCAGGAAGCAGAGGTGGCAGTGCCTTCTTCCAATTGCTTGTGTAAATACTGGGAAGGAAGGTAAGGAGAGCAGCTGCTTTGCTTTTCAGCCTCGGTGAGCTGCAGGTAAACAGCCTCTAAAGAGAAGGGAAGGTGGGCTGTGGAACAGCTCTGCCCAAGAAAAACCGAGAGACCAGGGAGGGAGTTCAGTGCCTGTCACACAGCGCTGCTTTGGCCTGGGAGGTTTGTCAAAAGGTGATAGTAAAATCTGGTGGCACCTCTCCACAGTTTCCTTATGGCAAAATAAGCAAAGCTAACTAGTTCTGAAGGTTAGCTGCACTTTTCTTTCTCATTTTCCTACCACCCATAGTTAGGCTTTTACTAATTGGATAAAACAGTGTAATCAATTTGTTGAACTTGCACTTCAATGTAAATAGCTGGCACAGCATTTTTGTCATAAGGGCACCAGTGCTCACGTATAGCCTGACCCAACAGTATCTCTAAGCAGCACTGTGTTAAAGTTGACTTCTTAAGAACAGGGACAGGTTTATGTGAGCATTCCTGCTGCTACCATCCATGCAGCTATTTGCATTTCAGCAATGACAGGGTTTTATTATGTTCTTTTAATTTTTACAAGTTTTCCTATTAAGCAGCATGAAAGATGGGTGATGGGATAATAGTGTGAACACACACTGCCAACTAAATCAGGTTCAGACTTTTTCATTCAGTGGCTCTACTCAGAATCCCAAGAGATTGTATAAAACAACTTCTGAAAGCTCCAGCAGTTACACATTTAAAAGTGTGTCTTGGGTGCATGTCGGTCAAAACAAATTTTAGTGACAGGTCTGATAAGGTGAAATGCAACAGAAATGTTTTAATACCACATTAATACCTCGGTTTGTGGTGACCTTTCAAGGTGCACCTGGGTACATGTTGTGCACAGCACAGCCCTGAAGTCATGAGGAGGAGGAGAGATGTACTTGCAGTAGGAGATTAGTGGCTTAGTTCTCCTGTCTTTAGGAAAACTTTCCCATTTGCAGTGTGAAATGCAGCTCCCGGGAGGTTACTAGAGTTTGTTGGCTGGTGACGTGGTCAGTGACTCACTGCCCGTCACAAGCCTGTGTCTGTCTGAGGAGAGAGAGAGAAAGCGAGGTCCAAACCCCAACCTTTCACACAGTTTTTGACCCTCCAGAGCATGTCTGAGACTCGAGGGAGAACTGTCCAGCCAGGCCCCTGCTCGGCTCCCCCAAACACACAAGCTGCAGCTCCCACTCCCAGGGTAACCCTTTTGAGGGGGAGCACTCCCTTGCCACAGATTCCCCTTCTTGGGGGACTGGGGGTACTGTTGATGTTGGGGGGCACTCCACTTTTACTTCCCTGTAAAAATACCTACCCTGGCTCCTGTTTGGAAGAGCCTCCTCCGGGAGGACACTTTGAGCCCGGGTGCCATGGGAAGCACTTGTTTAGCAACCCGTGCATTCCTGCTGAAGGACGAGCACAGATAACGCGGCCGGGCCCTCCCGGCCTTGGCTGCGGTGTCCTCCCAGGGCCTTGAAATAATTTCTCCTTGTGCCGGGGGTGTGGGGAGCGGGGGGTCCTGAGGGTAAGGGCAGACACTGCCTGTGGGGGTCACTGAGCCCAGTGGCTGGGTGGGCATGGCTGTCCCACATCCCTGTTGGTCCCATCGGCCAGACAGACACAGCTGATCCACAGCTGGAACTGGGACTGACATTCCATCAACTGGATTGACTCATTGGAACTAGGGCTGACTGACATTCCCTCAGCTGGATTGACTCATTGGAACTAGGACTGACTGACATTCCCTCAGCTGGATTGACTCATTGGAACTAGGACTGACTGACATTCCCTCAGCTGGATTGACGCTGGTGATCTCTTTTTCTCTCCTTCCTTTCCTTCCTTCCTTCCTTCCTTTCCCTCCTTCCTTGCTTCCTTTCCTTCCTCCCTCCTTTCCTTTCTCTTCAATCAATCTCTTCCTCTCTCTCTTCCCTTTCACCCTACCCCTTTATCCAGAGCCCACTGCCGTGTGCCTAACACAGCGGGTCAGGGACCAACATACCAATTTCCACGTGAAGTGTCTAATTCACCAATAAAACTTTCTGACTGTTTGCAGACCCTCTGACTCTTGTTGTTCCTTTCGAGCATTTACCAGCCTTGGGCGTTGCCTTCCCCTTGCGGGTGGGTCGCCACATATCTCGGCGCATTAACTCCGCGCCTCAGGATCACCGGGAGAAGGCGGCGATTCCTGAGGGGGGGGCGCGCGGGGGCCTGAGGGGGGGGTCGCGCGCCCCCACGTGCGCCTCACGTGCCGCGCCCCCCGCCCCGCCCCTCCCACGCGGAGCCACCTCCCCAGCCAATGGGCGGTGCCACCGCTCGCCCCGCCCCCTGCGCCGTGACGTGCGCGAGCCCCGGGAAGAGGCCCCGGCGGGAGGAGGCGGGAAGGGGGAACAGGGGAAAGGGAAGCGGCCGCACGCGGAGGAGAAGGAGGAGAAGAAGGCGGCGGCACTGGCTCTGCCGTCCCTGAGGTGATGCTCCGCGGGGTGAGGGCGGCCCTGACCGCGGCACCGGCACCGGGTCCGCGCCGTCCCTCCCCGCCCCCGGCGGCTCACGGAGCTCTGCGGGGCTGGGGCTCGGGGGAGGCGGGTGTGTGCGGGGAGTTCGCGGGGCAGGAACTGGCTCGGAGCCCGGGCAGCGCTTCAGGCGGATCCCATTGATCTCCGCAGGTTTAGGGTGGTTTTTTTCCTGCCGAGTGTTTTGCGCGTTGCGGGTGAGCTGGGGATGACCTTAACTTTGCCTTGGGGGATGACCTTAATTTTGCCCTGGTCCCTGCCTGGCTCGAGGGCACCTCTGCGGGTACCGAGGGTCCGGGTCTGCGAGTCAATGTTATACCCCAGGGTCAAGAGCCGACGGAAAACTTTGTAGGTCCGAATGGTCTTTGGAATAAGGTTGTTATTGAGTGTGTTTAGTGTTGGAGGCAGGGCGCTGGAACTAGGTGATCTTTAAGGTCCCTTCCAGCCCAAACCATTCCGTGATTCTTGGCTGTTCCTCACCGAGCCTTTTGAAATGCAAAGATGAACTTCCCACAGGGTGTTGCTTTTCTCTAAAAGCATCTTATAATTAATTACCAGTGTTTCGAAAGGGAAGACGGAGAAGCCTAAGGTTTGTGAGCCCTTTACGAGCACCGTAATGCAGCCGTGCCTGTAAAACCAGGGCGTTCCTGGTCGGAAACCTGTTAATGGGTTTGTAGTTCTAGAAACCTACAGCTACAGTTGCGGTTGTGGATGTCCTACAAGTGCTCAGAGTGGGGTGGAGTGACTGTTAACTAGTTGTGAAGTGAGATTTCTTCTTGTTGAGGAGATGAACATCTGGAGTTATCCTGGCATTGTGTCATGAATGATTCAGTTCTAGCAGAGATTAGAGGAAAGGTCTGATGCCCTCTTTAGGATCTGATGTGCTGATAGTTGCTTAGGTACTGTAACGTTACACCTCCATTCATATGGGAAGTAGACTAGGAAAATGTCTGTTTTCATAGATTTTTCTCTAGCACAGCTCTTGTTTTGGTGTGAAAAAGGCTTTCTTGTCATCACTTAGCCTATCTGAATTAATAACTTCAAGTTGTTTAACTTTTTTCTTCCCCTCACATGATTTTTCCTTCTGGTATCCTGAAATCTGTTACTTTTTAACTCCTTTCTGTTAACCTTTCAGTGAAATACTGTAACCACTCTGCACTGGAGAGGAAGGAGCGTCTTCCTCATCTCTTTAAGAAGCTGAAAAGTGTGCTGAGAAAAGAATTAAAGTTGTGGTCCCCTGTTAGAGCTGGAAAACCTGCACCTGTAAGGGTGGGTGTGGCTCACAAGGAGAACTTAACTTGGATCAGGAGGCAGTGAGAGGCTCCAGGCTGCCCAAGGAGTAGCTTGTTGGTGCATGAATTTGGAAGGCAGCTCGATTTCCCCTTCCACTGCTCCTGCAGATCCTGTTGTGTGAGCAGAGTGATCCATTCTTACCCTCAGATAGGGGTTTGGGCATCTCTGTTGTGTAAGAACACAAAGATTGGAATGTTTAGCTGCCCAGATCTCCAGGTAGTTGTAAGTCCCAGGTGGGCAAAATGCTTCTTTGCTCCAACATGATGCAGCCATGTCTGTACCTGGAACCTTGTGGGAAGGCTGGGAAGTGTAAAGAGTCAAGTATTCCTGATGGGGACTGATTCACATTTAAAAGCAAGGGGTTTGCAGCAGTAACTGTGTAAAGAGCTGGTAGGAAGTGGGTATAACCTGCCAGCTGCCTTTTGAGGCTGGTGAACACAGTTACTGTAGGAAGATTTACCATATTCTTGTCTGGTTCTTTCTGTTCTTCATGTAAATGCTTTTTGCATTATGTAGATCACGTGAGCTCTCAGGTGTTGTACAGAGCCAGCTCTGCAGCTTGTGGGCAGCTTGAGACCTCTTGAGACTGAGCTGAGAGGGGCAGTGCTGCAAGAAATGGTGATTGAATCAGTGACTTGTTGATTGGTGGTGGTGTTTCTCCCCTGTGTACTGTGAGGCCTGCAATGAGAATGGGAGACTGTTCGACTAGAGGGACAAACACAGGAAGCTGAGTCCTGGAAACCTCTGATCATAGTCTTATTTCCCTTGTGCAGAAGTGCCACCCTCTGTATTCTGAGGAAATCCATCCCTAAACAGTTCATTTTTTCACAAGTGCATGAGTTTTCCTTGCCTGCCTGTAACAGCTCGTCTGTGCTGGTGCACGTACACTGTTCACCAGCAGCCAAACACATCTGCTGCAGAGTTTGTGCCAAGGTGAAAAAATACATTGAGTTTGGAAATGTAGTCACATACATGCCTGTGTGGTTTTCTGGAAAAAAAATCTGAATGTTTTCCCTGGTTGTAGCTACATCTCCAAGAGATTCTTGAGCTGAATTTTCAGGTGGAGTGTCCTGGGATGTCGTTTGGTAGCCAAAGTAGAATCTCTTTGTGCCCTTCTTGTTAACTGAGAATTTTGTTTTCATCCTGCTTGCAGTGCTTCAGGTGTTCCCTGCTGGCAGCTCTGTCCCCAGCAGTGACCTTTGTCCCTAGCTCAAACCTGATTCTCTTCCTGTTTCTCTGTGGTTTGCGTTGTCTGTCCAAGCAGAACACAAGGATCCATTGAGGAAGCTGCTCTTGCAATAACAACTGAAAACTTGACAAGTAGGTGCTTGGCTCAGGCAAAATATTGCTGGTGATTCTGGCAAAGCAAACTGCCAGAGCTCTCAGAAGGCAAGTCTTGCTGTCCAGCTGACTGTCAGGAAGGATTTGCTTTTTGGTCTTTTGAAGGTTTTGCAAAGGCTTAAGTTATTTTAAACACTTATAAGGTCTGCAGGGACAAGAGGGAGCTGTGGGGAGGTGTTTTGGTAGTGATGGGGGAACTTGCTTGGTTCCTTTGTTCCTTTACTGCTTGTAGTAAGGGAGAGGAAGTGTGCTCCACAGTCACTGACTCACCCAAGTGTGTGCTGAATTTCCTCTGTCCTTGCTCTGAATTCGTAATGGAGGGAAGAAACTCTAACTTTAGTGTGAAGAAGGCTATTTGAATTTATTACTGAAAAATGTAAAGAGTTAATGAGTTTTTCCTGTCATTAATTATCTGCTCTCCTTTTCTGGCCTAGCTGAGTAAGCATGGCAGGTGACGACTGTGTGAGGAAACGCCAGTCTGGCTCCACTGCACCCTGCAAGACCCCTGAGAATGAAGAAACACAGAGGAGACCTGAGAGCGAGAGGTCGTTTCAAAACTCAAGCAATGGTGAGACTCACTGGTTTGGGACTAGCTGCACCTCTGGCATGTAATCTCCCCTAAGGTGTCCTTTCTAGCTCATGGCTCTGTCCTCTTTGCTCCTTCATTTTGTTTTTTCTGTCTCTGGTGGAGCTCCCTGTGTACCAGCTGCACCCCTTCAGCAGGTGTGGGTTGTTTGGAGTGGTGACCTGCAGAACTTTCCCTAGGGAGCTGTGCTGCAGTGCTTGCAGGGATCTAAAAAAGTGATAAATTGTCACAGCAGAAGGAGATGCATTAATGCTGTAAATGGTGCAAATGCCTCTTGGCAGCACTTTTGAGTAATCCTGGTAAATGCTTTTTCTGGGACTTCATCTCACTTCCTTTACAAGCTTTAAGTATGAGGCTTCTCAAGATTGAACAAAATGGTGTTTAACATACCTGACAGACAGGTGGAGGTAGGATGGCACAAGGAATGATTCTCTGCTCCTCTGGGGTTCTGTTGGTGTCAGGACGGCTCCCTTCTGTCCAGTCAACCTGGGCTGCCAGAAAACAGAACAATAAACAGTTGGGTTTGTATTCATTTGTTCTGTGGTCACCTTAAAAGTTATGTGGCTTGTAGTTGGCTTTGTGGAAAGGTCACTGCTGCCATGCCCTGTCCCATGGGTTGCAGGGACAGTTGTGTGGCACAATAAGTGGTTTTGCCTGTGGACTCTGTGACTGTCTGTAATTCCTGGTTTGTGCTGTACCACATTCCAGCCCGGTGATAAGGAGGTCAGCATTGAAACTGCAGCTTGTTTCCTTTCTCTTTGGGACACAGATTAAGCAAATAGCTAAAGTAGTTTATCACAATGTGCCATGTGAGTATAAGCTCCAAAACCCTGATGCCACTGACTCAAGGAGATAATTCTTACTGATATGCTTCTGAATATTGTCACTATTTCATAGTAGTCCTTTCAACTGAAACAGGAGTTGGAGCAAGTTTAAGTTTAGGACAAGTTAGATTTCTTCTTGCAAAAAAATACATTGGAGAGAAAGTCATCCCACAAACTGCTTGGAGAACTGGGATTTTAAGCTGATGGTAGTACAGTAATTTTAATTGGATCAAATGGGACTGTTTTAGAAAATTGCAGGGAGTTGGTGGCTACTGAAAAACAGTCATGATGGGTTTAGAAGTAGACTAGTACCTTTTTAGCCTTTTTTTATGTATGGAAACTCCTTAACTGTTATGAATGAATTTGAGTTCTTGCAAGGTTTTGGGTGAATAATAAATATAGCAGTGATAATTAGTGCTTGATACGTGGGTGTGCCTGTCTTTAAAGCTCTGTCCTTTCAACACCTCTTGAGATGTGGCAAAACATCACTGGAAGTGAGATACTGTGAGTGTGTAGCAAGTAAACATCCTGGGGTAGATCTCTTGAAAGTGTACTGAGCTCTCCTATGTGTCTGGTGGGTTGGCTTGGAACAGTGCAGTGTGGTTTTAATCCTGTACAAACTGCAGTGAAGGACAGCAGGGAGGAATCCTGGTTAGTTAAGACCAGGTGCATCTTACCTGCCAGCGTTGCTGCCAGTTGAGCAGAGGTGTCACAAAGTGTCACTGGTTTTTGCAGACTCTTTGCTCAGCACAGTGGTGGAGACAACAGGATTAACACGAGGAGGTAGGAGGCATGAGTCTGCTGCCTTGAGGCCTGGGAGGAAGATGCATCCCTCTGGTCAGAAATTCCTCTGTACAACGGGGTTAAATCAGCATCTCTATGACCCAAAGGTTGCAGCTTTATGAAGTTGAAGTGTGGCCTCTTCATAGTGGCCCTTTCTATGAAAGCAGGGCTGAGGTGGGAGAATTTCTCAAGAAGCAGCCATAGATGGTTTTTCTCTTTCTTTTGTCCTGGCTCTTCACATCTCAATAGCTGTTTCTAAGGCATTAGTGCTGATGTGTACAAAGGCAGTGTGTGGCTAATGATCTGCTGTCTGGCAACAGCCTTTTTATACTGTAGCATCTTAGCACTGGGTGTTGTAGAGAATTTTAGACAAGATGCATATTTGTTGCAGTCAAGGGATTCCAGCCAGGTCAAGAATGTATGAAAGTAAGTATTGTAGCATCTTTGTGGCAGTTATTTCTGTAGAAAGACAAAATCACTAACGTGATTACTCAGCCTTGATCCTCTCTGATTATAGCAAGCACAATCTGCTTTTTAACTGAAGAGTTAACATGTCAAGGGCCAATTGACTTGTTTCCAGAAGTGTGTGAACTTTCTACAGAAACTTCTGGACCTCTAACCCTTTCTTCATTGACTCAAATGCTTTGGCTGATATTAAATTGCTAAGAGGAATAATTTTAATACATGTACTGGCTTTAGAGCTACATTAGGTCTGCCTCTTCCATTGGTATAGTTGAGGTTACTTTTTTTCTTGCCTCATCAATGCTTCTGAAGGCTGTCTCCTTGCTTGGCTTGCAAGAGTGAAGAGTTTGTACTCAGGGACACCCAATTTTTTAGCAGTATTGTTTCTATTTTGTAATTATTCAGCCTGTAATTTCACTTTGACAGAGTAGCTGAACTTCAGTCTGATGTATCACTTCTCCTTTAATTGGCTCCAGTGTTGTAATTAAACAGCTAATTTGGTCCTGGCATAGAGTCAGCAGATGATCTGGGTGGCAATAATCCCTTGTCAAAAGCCAGGCCTCCTTAATAAAATTAGTCTTACGTGTTTTCAGCTGGAGATACATAAATATCAGACTGTTCTGCCTAGTGGGATATTGGTATCAGGCAGTCACTGGTTGGATGAAAACTCACTTGGAATGAGCATAACAGAAACTGCATGGGCAGATCTAAAAAGGTTAGAGATGACATGGATTCTCAGTGTGCATTCAGAGTTCTCTGAGATGCTCAGATGAGTCATTCAGAGCAGTAAAATGGTGGTTTTGGGGTCTGTCCTTGTTTCCCCAGAAATCAGGAAAGGATTAGAAGTGTCTCTGGAGGCTGATCTGCAAACAAGCAACGTGGCAAAGCTGTTTGGTGTGAGTAAGGCTGTTTGGTAATGCTGATCTTACAAAGGAGTTATCTTCCCGTGGAGAGGTTACTATCGATCATTCTCGGTGCGAAAGTTCACGGTGATGCACGAGTTGCATGTGCCCACTGATGGAGGAGGAGGAGGGAACTCTCGCAGCAATTTGGAAAGCTTTAGCCTCTGCTGTCTGACTCACAGTAGTAAGTGTTCAATGTATGAACAGGCTTTTTCTTGCAGATTAATGAATTTGGGATTAAGCTGCTTGAATTGAGTGTCTTGGATGTGTTTCTGAGAGATGGATCGAACAGAGCTGTTTTGTCTCGCTGGGTTCTGGCAATTTTGTGCTCTCATGTTTTGGAACCTGTGGATTAGGTGAAGGCTCAGCAGTTTTTTCTGAGGAGCCTGTAGACATGGTAGCATGATATAGAGAATGCAGATGTTTCTTCCCGCTAGTGAAGAGGCTGTTTCTGTCCCATGTACCTTCAGAAGTGACTTTTTAAGCTCAGTACCTTGTCCAGCTGCAGTGCAGTGTCCTGTGGCTTGTGCATTCTTTAAACAGGTCACCTGAGTCTAATGATAACTTGCCTCTATCTGCTGAGTGGCCAAAAAAATTACCGTAATTAAGAATAAGGCTCATTAGCATCAAATTATTAATGTGTGTTGTACCAGATATGGAACTCCTCCCCCTCTTTACAGCAGCCTTGCACTAGGTTGGCTTTAACACTGCTTTGCTTCAAGTAACATCTTTAGTGTTTTTGGAGAGGGAGCCTTTAAATCCAGGTGTCAGTAATGAAATCCTTCTGCCTATGTTGCTTTAACCTTTTGAATGGTCGGTTTCATGATCAAGAAATAAGTTGGTTTTTGTTGGATCCCAAGCTGCTGTACCAGTAGATCATGTGAATGGTTTCCTGCTCTAGTCATCTCAAATGTCACTTATATCTGTAACATGCAAGAGTAGGTTGAAAAAGGGACAATGAGATCCTTTAGGGAAGGTATTAGTCAGTCTTTTGTGAAACCAGAGTTGCTCAACTTCTCAACAATTAAGCAGCTTTCTCAATCTTCAGGTGATTTTTATTAGCCTGGTTTCCTATGGAAACAAAGTTTACATTCAAATTGCTCATTTGTTTTTTCTTCTGATTTTTGAACCTACTTGGAATTTGGGCTGTACAGAGAAGTCAGTCCTACAAGCATCGGTTTCTACAAGCCCAAGACAAGTGGTCAGCTAAAGACCTTGTTAATGTCTTTGCTGGTGGGAAGGCAACACAACTGCTGTTAAAACTTCTCCCCATAAGCAGAGCTCTTCCAAAGCAAACTCTGTTTCAGTGTCCTGTGAAATTGGCCACTATTTTGTACTAGTCTTCAAAGACAACTTTTTTATCACTTTGAATATATTTCCTGTTTTCTTAAGGCACATCTCAACTTCAAATGCAGAGATGTACTTGCTTGTATTGTGCAGCCCTAAGTCTATTTTTATAGTGCTGTTGGAATCCCAAAGTGATACAGAGGGATCCAGTCTTTGTTTTCAGGGTCAAAGGAAAGTGAAGATTTGGATTCTTTAGCAGTGCACATTTCCTTTTAGACTCAAAATCATGTGATGAATCTCTTCTCCAGTGACCTCACAGAACATGAGTGGCAGCTTGCACAACAGAGGATGAGTGATTAAAGAAGATGATGAGTTTGTGTGTTCTCTGGTATCTGCCTTGTGACACAGTTGAGTTTATGGGGCAATGCAACACAGCAGAATGAGTTGGTTTTCTTCTACAGGAGATCTTATTCTGGAAAAAATGTGACTAGCTCACAAGGGATTTTACTTTGTTGTATGAGATGCTTATACTGAAGACAGGTCTTGATTTTAAAACCTTTTAAAAGATGCTGTGTTTGTAGTCTATTCTGTGGTTAAATTAAGTGTCAGGAGGGACACTGCATACAGTTTAGCTGTTACAGCATCAGCAGGTCAGAGACTGGCCTTGTTTCCTGTGCAACCATTAAAGCTGCACATTTGATATAGGTAAAACTCCATCTTTAAGACCTTGTAGCCAAAAGGGGTGTTTTATTAATAAATACTATGCCTGGGTAGTTATAATAACTGAGGCTTCAGATGCAAGATCTGACAGGAAATATATGGTCAAAGCAGTGGTTGTTTTATTTTTAGGTTAGCTTACAAAGGAAATAGTGCAATTCCTAAAGTCTCACGTGTCCTGTCCACTTTGGCCGTGTTGGGTGGCTTCAAGAAAACTCGATAAGAGTCTTGAGGATTGGCAGCTGGATAAGAGACACAAATTCTTAACTTTTTGTGGGGAAAGGTTCATTAAACTCAGCAGCTCTGTCTGATCTAGCAGGTCAGCACGAGTGGGTTCTTTATACAGTAGTAATGGGAGGAAAGAAATTAGAATATAATTGTGGAATGACACGGTGAGTAGAGTCACTGAGCTGATATGAAGGGGATACAGTTCTGCTGCTCGTGGAACAACTTGATTTTTTTCTTTTCTTTTTTTTAAATTTATTGGGTGTGAATCCATTTTAGACCAGCAAAGTG